TGTCTGCAGTGTTAGACACGCAAAGAAAAGACCACTCACTCCAATTAAAATCAAATTAAAGCAAGCTTATTATTTCAACCGGCTGGGCTGCCTCTCCCAACAAAAACCAAGGGAGCCAAAGCCCGTAAATAAACCTTTCCTCCTCTACAGTTGTTCTCGTCCAGTTCCTTTCATCACAGGAGCACAAAAGTTGACTGAAACAGAAATTGGTACCAGGAATGGGGTCATTGCTGTGACTAACCTGACCATGTGGTTCATAAGCATTTTGAGCTTCCTGGAATTGGTGGAAGGAATTCTGAGATGTTTAGCAGTGCAAGCTGGAAATGCTTTAGGTTGTTACAAGCCATGCTTAATGGCTGATTCTGGTGGGAGCTCAGAAGACCGGAATGCCAATAGAACTCTGGACAGTGAAATCAGGGCTCAAGATGGTTTAGAGGAAAAGGAGAACACTCTTCTTAACTGGACTAGAGGCCACTCAAGTTATGTTCTGAGTGAGGAACTGTCTGCATTTTGCCCATGTCCTGAGACTTTCTGTGAGGCTGACTTTAAAAGCAATGGACTTCTTAATATGGCAGAAAAATTTCTAGGCAGCATAGCATTCAAGTGGCATGGAAATTGCTGGTGACTTTTAGCCAGATTTATTGTGAAATTCAGGAGCAGAAAGCAGAGCATACTGGGAAAACCTGAACTTGAAAGGCAGGAGTAAAACTGAGGCTAAGGAATTTATAGTTGTTAAAGTAACAATACTAAGCAAATGCTAAAGACTCTACCTAGAGACAAAGAGAAAAATGGTTTGGGGGCATCTCAGGAGCTGAAAAGACCACACCCATCTCAGGCTCAATGCAGTTAAAGTAAAAATTCTCTTGAAATGACCAGTGGGGCATCCTTCCTATACTAGAGGAAGGTTTTCCAAAATACTTTGTCACCCAGACCCTCAGAGACTACTGCAGCCAAGGAACCTGGAGGTTTTAATCCTATTTGAGATGATGGCAGACCTTTGTGTAAACCATAAGGTGCTGGTTCTGCAGAAATGCAGGATACTAGAGTTAGGGGGTCATGGAGGCTTCCAAAGGAAGGCCTGGGAGGCCAGGCAAAGCACAGCAGGATCAGACTAAGAAGGCAAAGTGTGGAGATATGAGGGGGAAGATGAAGCTGCTGTGAAGCCCCTCAAGATTAAGAAATTCCAGTTACATGGGACATCATTCTAGGGAAACTGCAAGAATTAAGCAAAGACAAGCCAACAGAAAGACCGCTTGGGCTGGAACCAACAAGGCCAAGAGGGCAGATCCACACAAGTCCTTTGGAGAGAACATCACGATGTTATATACTTAAGATGACAGACAAAGAACTATAGGACTTGTTTGCCCAGCCAGATTTCAGTCCTGCTTTGGTTCTGAAGCCAAAATTAGACAGGCAGTCAGTATAGATAGGTAAATAAAGTTGGGTAGGATCAAGGAGACCAATTTTGAGTTAATCTCCAAGGCAAGTTGGAGACTGTCCCCTGAGGGATTGAAAAATTAATTCCTTCAGAGCCCTTCCTCCACCCTTATCAAGAACCTGCCCCTGGGCTGGGGATGTGGTTCAATCGGTAGCGCGCTTGCCCGGCATGCGTGTGGCCCGGGTTCGATCCTCAGCACCACATACCAACAAAGATGTTGTGTCCTCCGAGAACTAAAATATAAATATTAAAAATTCTCTCTCTCACTCTCTCTTAAAAAAAAAAAAAAAAAAAGAACCTGCCCCTGCTACAACCTGTTGCCAAGGTAACCTGTCCTAAGAATTGCCTCCCTACAGGGAGCTCTAAGGTTATTAATGCGTCCTGAGGCCCATCCCACCAAGCATTCCTGGGCCTAGTCACGGAGACAGGACCCAGGAAGGAGAAAGATAAGGAGGAAAGGCAGGAGAACAAAGGAAGCCTAGGACATATAAAAAGGGCAGAACACCTCTCTTCTGGGGATACCAGGTTACCAGCTATGGCCCCCTTCTCCTTCGCAGGAGGGGAGAAATCTATGTTAACCTTTTTAAATAAACCCTGCTTTGTATGCTTGCCTGGGTGTGCTTCTCTAATGTTCAAATTTCAAGGTGGGGAAGCAGGACTCGTCACTATAAGGCAGTATCAGTTCCATCCCTTCTTTTTATGCTTCTATATCTTGAATATTCATAACTCATTTTTTTTTTTATTTTTACAGGAACTTATGATGCAGGCTTGCCCTGAGCCTCAGGAAATTTTGAACATGAACTTTTGGGTACTCCTGAAAATTTTGAGACTATGGGGACTCTTAGAAATGGACTAAACATAGGGCTGGGGATAGAGCTCAGTTGGCAGAGTGCTTGCCTTGCATGCACAAGGCCCTGAGTTCAATCCCCAATCCCCAGCACCATTAAAAAAAAAAAAAAAAAAAAGGAAAGAAAGAAAGAAAAGCAAAGAAAAGAAAAAAAAAGGACTAAACATATTTTGTATTTTGAGATGGCCATGAGATTTTGGGGGCCAGGGTGGAATGTTACAGTTTGAATACAAGGTGTATTCCAAGAGCTCACATCATTTCTCAGATCATAGCCTTAATATAATTGGTGGATTAATTCCTGATGGGATTAACTGGGTGAGGGCCAGAGGCAGATGAGGTGTGGCTGGAGGAAGTGGTTCTTTGGGGGCATACCTTTGGGATATATATTTTGTATCTGAAGAGCAGAGTCTCTGCTTCCTGATCATCATGTGAGCTGGTTCCTTCTCGCCCTCTCTTCCATCATGATGTCTTGCTCACTTCAAGCCCTGAGGAATGGACCTTCTGTCTATGGATTTAGGGGGTCATGGAGGCTATGAAACCCAGAGTTTTTAAATAAACCTTTCCTCCTCTGTAGTTGTTCTGGTTGGGTCCTTTTACCGCAGCGGCAAAAAGGCTAATAACTAAAACAAATACCCACACTCACAGCCCAGAAGACAGCCACAAATCAGACACAAGGAAAAAAAGAACAGTTCAAGAGATGAAAGCGAACAAACTAAATAACATGACATAAGGAATAATGTATAGTATTTTGAAAATTTTCTAATTAGAATCCTCGAAAATATTCAAGTAGCCATTTACATCCACACACACAGTGGCCTTTAAAATATTAAAAGACAAATAAGCTCTCAAAAATATGATTGCCAATTGATTCACTAAAGAGAAACAAAGAGGAGAAATTTATCTAGAACATTGTCTTTTTTCACCAAAAACAGAAAAAATAGAAGAAAAAAATGGAAAAATATTAGCCCAGGAAATTCAAACCTCTCTTTCAGAAAAAGAAAGAAAATGGAATCAACTGCTGAAGAAATAACAATTATCTAGAAGAAAAACACAAATCTCCACACTGATGCCAAATAGAAAATACCTCCACCTACAAGGGACCCGAAAGATTCTAGAGGAAAAAAATTATTCAAATGCAAAAAAAAGTAATAATATAGCCTCAGGCCTCAGTCCAGGGATGGTGGCAGGCCTATATAATCCCAGCAACTTGAGAGACTGAGACAGAAGGACCAAAAGTTCAAGGCTAGCCTCAGCAATTTAGGGAGGCCCTAAACAGCTTAGTGAGACTCTGTCTCAAAAAATAATAAGGGTTGGGGATATAGCTCAGTGTTACAGTGATCCTGTGTTAAATTTCCAGTACACACTCAAAAAATAAAATTAAAAAGAAAAAAGAAATGGCATCAGGCTTCTCTAATATGCCTTCAAAATTTTGTTAAGCTTATTTTCATCTTCTGCCATGATGTCCCGTCCCACCTAGAGTCTGTTAAAGCATTTAATCCAGAGCTAGAATAAAGACATTGTAAAACATATAAATCTGCGTGCACACCCTCCAAGAGTCAAAGAAGCTGTCCCTTATAAGACCATGCCTCTCCAGTTGTCAATTCTCCATTAGTGGCCAAAGGAAGCCCTTGCACCCGGTCTTCAGATCATTCAAGAGTGAAGGGATAGCCTCAAACACTAATCTCTTCCCTGATAGAGTCAGTGAGAGAGGCCACACACTGCATCCAAGATTACCCTCACCATGCCTCCTGTCCATCAGCAAGATACTCTCTAGACCTCCTGATTCCCATCAAGAATCAGGTTAATCCAAGATCCACCCCACCCCTCCTGTCACTGTCTCCCTACCAACATCAGTGGAAGAGGGAGTCTATGATGTCGTTCACTGATCTATTTCAGTTCCTACAACAAGCCCAGGACCCATCACTGGCGGCACCCTAGGCCCCATAAAACTGTACATCTCCCTTTCCTCTCCATCAAACAGAACCCTTCCACTGTGCCTTCTGGACCAGCAAGGTCTGTTATTTCTGAGTCTCTTCCTCACAGTCCTTTGGCTTTACTGCCTTAATGGAAGCAAGGATATCCCAGGAGGTCAGTACTTTCCCTGAGCTCTGTCCAAAGGGCCACTGTTCCTCCTGCAACCCTGGCATCACTGGGCATGGAGACAGAATGCATGTGCCTTCCTTGCCCCTCATTACCACCTCCAGGTAACTCTCCCAGAGCCTCACAGCTTTGAGTCCCCTGCCACTCCTCATGTCACCTGCCTCTAGTACCAAAACTCTATAATCCTCTGACCCACCTGTGCCTCCAACCCTTCCCCACCATCACAAGCCATGTTTCCTCACCCTCTGCTACGGACTCCTTCCTCCTTAACCTGAATCCCATGGCCATGACACATCCTCAGCTCTCCTCTCTCATCGCCTTCATCAAACCACAGCTTGGTTAAATCAATTCTCACCTACTCCTCACCTGCACCTCTGCAGCTCAATGTGCAATCACACTGGTGTCACGCTATATTCCTGACATAAGCCCTCAAATGAGCCCTCAATGCTGTCCAACTCTTTTCTTTACTACCATAGGATTATTTTACTTCTTTTTTTCTTTTTCCAAACCACAAACTGCTCTTTTTCTACCCTCACTCCGACTTGATGACCACATTTCCTACTTCACTGGGCAAGATTTTAACCTGAGGCTCTGAAGAGGGAATGCACAGATTCCTACCACCAGGTGCACCAGAGAGCACATAGGAGCTGTCCATGGTCCAGCATCTAAAGCTGCTCCCTCCGGGGCACTCCAGACCCAGCTGTGGCTCATTTACTCTTTCTACATAATGAAGTTTTACCTATCCTGGAGATCATTCGTATTATCATGCAAACATGCAGTAATGTCTCCTGCCTCAAAAAAGGCAAAAGGTCTCCTGACCCACTACATCCAACAGCCACCACAGACCCACTTTTCTCCTCCTTTGCAGCAAGATGCCATGTGCTGTCCTTGGCCTCTAAATCAACTTTCCATTCTCTTAAACTCATGCTCAGCAGGCTACTGTGCCTCTCTCTATGTCCATCAAACTGCTTGTGAAGGTTACTGATGGCCTAACCTATGATAATCCTGGTGGGTGATTTTTCCCCCCCTTTTCTGGTGCTCAATTCTTCCTCGTGTTTTATTTGACAGTTTCTTGTGTTTTCAATTGCAGGGGGTTTTTTCCTATCTTTTTTGGATTTTTATTTTTGAGATGTTGCCCAGGCTGGCCTCAAATCCTAGGCTCAAGTGATCCTCCTACCTCCACTCCTGAGTAGCTGGGATTACAGGTGTGTACCACTACACCCACTATATACGTACATGTTTTTGACACAGATTTGAAGACTGTTTTCTTCCTGCCTCTGATCACTAATTCTTAGTCTTTGTCTCTCCCTCTTGTCCCCATTTTCTCAATGCTGAAGTACCTAATAACATGCCCAGTGCATTTCTCTCTTCTCCATCTCCCCCTCTCCTTGAAAGCCAGCCTCCTTGGTGGTCTTCCTGCTCCCATCTCACCACTATGGTCTATTCCCCACACAGTAGCCAGATGAGAAACCATTTTCTTTTCAAAGGTAATTTGAATGAGACCCCTAATGGTTTCTCATTTCACTTAGGGTCAGAATCAGGGTTCTGCTCACCTGCCTTGGCCCCTGCTGCCCTGTGGACACAATGGGTGTGCTCCAACCTCAGTGTCTTCAGGTGACCCTTTGCTGAGGTCCTCTTCTTTCCCCCAGTGTCCACGGAGCAAACATTCTCCCTTGAGTTCTGGCTCACATCTTATGTCCTCAAGGAGACCCACACTGACAATGCCTTTGGCCTTTCCAAAACCCTTTTTATCATGATTTAATTTCCTCTAGCACATTTTCCTTCTAATATACCATGAAACCGGCATATTTTTATAATTTCCATTAAACATCTGTTTTGTTCATTGGTACTTCCTAATGATAGAATAGTGCATACTAGGCAATCAATCAAAAATACACAGGGAGTAAATGAACATACAAGGAGTTGATATCTTTAACATACAGAAAATATTTATATATACAGGCTACCAATAGGTAATTCACAACTGACACGTAAGTAATGAATGTTAAAGTATGTGCAGTCCTATAAATACTCAAATATGAATTTAAAACACAGAAAATCTTAAGATTATAATACCGCAACCAAGAAGTAACTTCCATTTACATTTTGATTTTATGGACTGACAGACTTTCTTCCATGCATATGGGCACATGTATAAATTATTTTTATCTCTAAAATCAAAGATTAAAAATAATAGTAACAAATGTTGGGTGGGGCTCATACAAATAGGCATTCTCATATACATCTAGTGAGCAGGTAAACTGGTACAAGCTTTCTAAAGAGTAATGTGTTGATAACAATCTTTACAATGAAAACACTTTTAACTCAGCAATTTAAATCCTACAAATTTATCTTAATAATGTCCTAAGTGTGCAAAATGTATGTATAAAAGTATATGTTTAAAGAAGTCCATTATAGGGCTGGGGATGTAGCTCGGTGACAGAGTACTAGAGTGCTTTCCTAGCATGTGCAAGGCCTTGGATTGAAACCCCACTACTGCCAAAAGAATTCATTACTTTTAATAGTAGCAAAACTATAATTTTCTAAATGCCCACAACAGACTTGAGTACACAGTCATAAACACTATAACAGATTTATATTAATTATAATAAAAAGATGAATAAAATATATTAATTTTTAAAAGTTAAAAACAATAATTTAATCTTATTTTGTAAGAAATTTTTAAATACAAATATGCACAGAGAAAATAGTCTTGAAGATTATAAGTGATAATGTAATCAGTGGCTATTCTCTAATTAACAGGATTACAGGAGTTTTTCTGTAACAGTTCTATGTACTTTCTATTTTATTCCCAATGAATATATATTACTTTTAGAATCAGAAAAAATGTTTTCAAAAGGCCAAAAATATAATTAAAACACATGAAAAAAACTCTTAAAAATGGTTATAATTAATCAGAGGCACAATTATACTTACATTTTTTAAAAATTTTTTTTGGTACAGGGGATTAAACCTAGGTGTGCTTTACCACTGAGCCATATCCCTAGTCCTTTTTTTTTTTTTTTGTGAGATGGCATCTCCTCTACATTGCCCAGACTGATCTCAAACTTGTAATCCTCCTGCCTCAACCTCCCAAGTAGCACAGGTGCATACCACGATACCCAGTTATACTTACATTTTCCATAGAGTAAGACCAACGTCTAATGTAGTGAAAGGTAATAAAGATATGAACTTACTCATCATCCCGGAAGCTAAGCTGTAACCTCTCTCTTGGTGTAGCATCACTCTGGCAACTGGGAGATGATGAAGATGGAACAGAAAACCTCCCATCTACTAAGTAGGATGTCTGGATATCAGGATACCTACACAAATTTGTCAAGAATTAAATTAGATACATTTAAAATTCACCATGACATAGTGCTACATGACAGTAAAACCAACCACCACCAAAACCATAATCCTCTGTGAAAAGCACCAGAAACCTATGGATCTGCACTGGGATATTCATCTGTATCAATAACTGAGTTGGCTCCTCATTCTACAGATAGCTGTGCAATCGAGTGTGTAATCCTTACTTTCCTAAATAAATCTCTGTGCCTCAATTAAAAACAAAAACAAAAATACAGACACAGAAATCTTTTTTATAATTATTTTTTAATTGTAGTTGGACACAATACCTTTATTTTTATTTATTTTTATGTGGTGCTGAGGATTGAACCCAAGGCCTCGCACATGCCAGGTGAGCACTCTACCACGCTGAGCCACAACCCCAGCCCCAGTCACAGAAATCTTAATGCTACATCATGTACAACCATAAGAATGGGATTCTAATAAGTTATAGTCCATGTATGTACACTATGTCAAAATATACTCTGTCACGTATATCTAAAAAGAACACACTGGGCTGGAGATGTAGCCCAGTGGTAGAGCTCTTGCCTAGCATGTGGGAGATACTAGGTTCACTCCTCGGCACCGCATAAATATAATACATTAAAAAAAATAAAGGTATTAAAATTTTTTAAAAAGAATCAGATTAAAAAAAAAGGAAAAAAAGAAATCTTAATGCTAAGTTTTTAGAGAGTTTATCTAACCCTGTTGGCTAGTTTGAGAGATGAAAGAGTGGTCAGTTAAACATGGACAAGCTTTATATGTTACTAAAGATCCTACATGTAATGATACATGTCCATTCCAGCTGGCTCTGGAATGGACACCTAAACTACGCTGGACCAGCAATTCAAAAAATGCAATTCACAGGTGCCTTTTCAGTTTGTGTTGCAGTATTCTGCAACACTATTCTGCAACATGGAATAGGAAAGTAGTGAATTGAGAGAAAGAATAGCAAACAACAGAGTTTCAGAGAGAGAAGCACACAGAGAAGTGGAATGACAGAAATCCAAGTCTTAGCACTTCCTGGACCCTGACTCACATCCCTTCAGGAAAAACAGTTCTTCTGTGTATTAGTATGTTATAGACCTGAAGAAAATATAAGTTCAGATAAATCTTACCTGTTATCAGTGCTGGTTCTATTCCGAGCAAGTGTGGAAACAGCAACAGGCAAGCCGAGATTTGAAGTAAGAGTGACATTTTCCAAAATCCCACTATTACCAAGCAATGAATTTGTTAAAAAGCTTGGAAATGACTCTTCTGCTATACCTCGAAAATCATCCATCTCACTGCAATAACAAAAACATTTTTATAAATCAAGTATTACTATAAAACTTTTTCTAATGATGAAGAGTACAAGTCCCATAAATCTTAGAAAAGTAATACCCTTAGAAAATTATGTTTTTGCAACATCGCTAAAAGGGAATACTATTCTGAGGTTGAGTAAGACTCAGAATATCATGCTACTTTAGAGCTCAGAATATACACATCAAACATTAAACTTATCTTCTTAACATAGTGGTGAAAATACAGGAGTTTAAAGTACCATTGGCTTGGTATGGCCAGAAACATGAATTACCACAAACTTATCTAATAAAGAAAGCAAGGATCAGGCATAATACAGATGGCATACACAGATGATTATAGGGTGTGTTTAAAAGTCTAGGGCTGGGGTTGTGGCTCAGTTGTAGAGCGCTTGCCTCACATGCTTGGGGCACTGGGTTCAATTCCTCAGCACCACATAAAGAAACAAAATAAAGGTACTATTGTCCATATACAACTAAAGAAATATAAAACTAAAAAATTTTTTTAAAAAAGATTAAAAGTCTGGCAGTGGGCCAGGCACAGTGGGAAACACCTGTAATCCCAGCAGCTTAGAAGGCTGAGGCAAGAGGATCAGGAGTTCAAAGCCAGCCTCAGCAAAGGCGAGGTGCTAAGCAACACAAGGCTGAGGATATGGCTCAGTGGTTCAGTGCACCTGAATTCAACTCCCGGTACCAAAAAAAAAAAAAGTCTGGCAGTAGACTGAGACCATAGCTTAGAGGGTAGAGTGCTCGTCTAGCATGTTTGAGGTCCTGGGTTCTATTCCTAGCACCACAAAGAAAAAAAGAAAAAAAAAAAAGTTTGGCAATTTTATAGTCATTTTTAAATAGAATAGACAAATTCAAACAACAAAAGCAAAACTCTAGTTTCAGAAAATACTTTCTAGGTTTTTGTGTTTTGGTGCTGGGGAATGAACCTAGAGCCTTGAGTGTGCTAGGCACACACACTAAAACTGAACAATACCCATGCTCAGAGTATACAGTTTAAACAGCAAACCCATTCAAAAAAAAAATTTCAGTTAAATAAAGTACAACTGGAACATGAATATAGCAAAGTGACCAAGAAGTGGTAAACAAATGATCAAGTCTGGAAAACACTGACATAAAATTTATACCATCAATAGAGAATCTACAAGTTTACATTGGCCCTTGGTTCAACTTGACCCTGATCACAGTACTCAGGAGATGCTACTCAAATTCTTCTCCCAAATTTCTTCATAGCTGGTGTCTTCCTTTCATCTCAACTTAAATGTCACCTTCTAAGAAAGTTTCTCCCTTATCATTAAGTCAAATGTAACCCCACAGCCTATCACATCCATTCTACATTTACCACTACTGATTTTTTTATGTCTGTCTTCTTCCACTGAAACCAATGCCATCAGAGTGCAGGGGCCTGCCTATCTGTCCATCACTATTACCCAATGTCTAGAACAACACCTAGCAAACAGTAGCTACTCAATAAATATTTGTAAACTGAAAGAGGGGCAACATTCTTGGCATTTGCCTCATCTTTGACTTTAATACCTGTATATTTAGAAGGTCCATTTCTTGGGAAATTGTCTTTTTTGTTCAAACATATTTCCAGAATCTAATATACAAGCTGGGAATACAAGTTGATATTCCATGTCTACTTTATTATCAAATTATGTGTTTGATATTTTATAATTTTCCTAATCCTTTTATCAAGTTTATAAAGTAGCCATTATCCCTACTATCAAGGAAACAAGAGAGAGAATCTAGATACTTTTCCAAGTTATAGGGTGCAACTGAGACAGCAGGGGGATTCCCACTAAGTAAGTCTGATCCTAGAGTGTTCTTTCCTCCCTCATCTTCAAATCACCTTCAGCCAGGACCTCTATCCTGAGATCTAGATCCTGATTTCCAAATGGCTCTATGACAACTATACCTTATCCCTGAATGACCCTCAGGTAATGCAAAGCCAACAAATACAAAACCAAACTAGTACTTTCCTCCACCAACCCCTCCAGTTATCTTCAGTCTTGATGTCATCCTTATTCACTGCCTATTACCAAAACACCTAGGACCATTCTGATCTCTCCTGCTTTCAATGAGTTATCAGTTTATAATAGTTCTAACTTCAAATACATCTCTGGAGCTGAGGCCCACTGCTACATTCCCCATGCCTGCTACTTCTTACTTCAAAATTATTGCACAAGACTCCCAAGTAGCCTGCCCAAGTCCAGTTTTATAATTACTAAGATATTCATTCATTTCTAAACATGCAAACTACTTAAAATATATAGTGAGTGCTGGGATTGTGGCTCAGTGGTACAGCACTTGGTGAGCACATGTGAGGCACTGGGTCTGATTCTCAGCACCACATACAAAAATAAATAAAGTTATTTAAAAAAAAATATACACACACACACACACACACACACACAGAACTCTTCAATGGTTATCTCTACATAGAAGGGGTCAGATCCAAGGAAACTTCTGTTATTACTCAAAGATCACACATGCAACAATCATTATCAAGCAAAAACCACTGTACTTGGGATCAGGAATGCAAAATTAAATATGGTGGCCTCCTCAGGGAGCTGATAATCCCTGTCAAAGAATAGACAGCTAAGTGCTTCAGCAGAGATTTGCTATGGAAACATAACCCATTAAGAAATTCCTCAAGCTGGGCTGGGGATGTGGCTCAAGTGGTAGCCCGCTCCCCTGGACTGCGTGCGGCCCAGGTTCGATCCTCAGCACCACATACAAACAAAGATGTTGTGTCTACCAAAATCTAAAAAAAAAAATATTAAAATTCATTCTCCCCCGCCCCCCTCTCTCTCTCTCTCTTAAAAAAAAAAGAAAAGAAATTCCTCAAGATGTAATCTAGTACCTGTCTGTCTTGTTTCCAGAAAGGATTATACTGTTCTAGATCATTCATGAGCAAACCCACATTCCTAAAGCTTTCCTAGAGGGAAAAATTCCCTAACTTCCCTCTGCATTGCATTATTCACACTTCCTCCACCATTTAAAGTGAACACACTGATATCTTTTCCTCTGCAATATTTGAAACAAGTACCCATCTTAACCATTTCACATATGGCTTTACTAGCATTAAATCAGTTTAATAATATTTCTGGATACATAAAAGGTCATTTTCTGCAGTCCTTAGCTGTAGATCAACATATCCAATTGAACATGTTTAAAAGTGCATGCTGTGGAACCCAAAACCTAGTCAAATTTCCCAACATTCATCATTTACTCTTGGCACCTTGAAGATAAAATTCAGAATTAGCTAAACATTTAACATGTTACTTTTCAAAGCTTACCTCAAACTTCGCCAGTAATATTGAAATCTGGAGAAAAAGTTGATTTTCCAGCAGATAAAACTCCAGTAGAATGACTTCAAAGTGGTAACCACAGATGGAAACACTGTCATATACACAGCTGTCCTCCAAACGACAGCATGGAGAGGAACCTCATGCTTTGCTAAACAACGACTGAAATGAAGAGCAACGCAAAAACATATTGATATTAAACATTACCTAATTCAACGTTTTGTTCCTAAGAAAATCATAGGTAAGAAATGGAAGGTTTTAGGAATGAAGGTGCACACAGAAGCCTAAGGGAGTGACTGAGTGACTGGGTATGCCAACAGAACCCTCGACGTGAACGACGTTATCACTCGGGTCAGTTTAGACAGAAAGAAGCCAGAACCGCCACCACAATGCCCACGAAGGCAGAGGCCCTGCAGGCAACTCCAGAACAAGGCGTCTGTCCCTCCGCAGGTACCAGACACCAAACGAGGGGTGGGGAAGCAAGGGCGCCACCCACCAGAAGCCTACCTCAAGGCCCAGAATCCCGCTCGCCCTCCCGCAGTGGCCTCGCAGGGCCCGAGCAGCCCGGGGGCCGCGGCCCGCCCGCCTCCGGGCCAACCGTCGCCACCCCCCAGCCCCGAAACGAGCTGCCGCCCCGGGCGTGGGTGCACGCGAGACACCGCCCCTACTCACCCAGCCCACCCCCAAGGCTCCGGGAGCAGTCACTGCTGCAAAGACGCCCAAGGAGGGAAGGCGCGTCCAGCGGCACCGCCAGTGCGCGTGCGCATGTGCGTACCGCCCCCAGCCGGCCTTACGGTGGGCCCTCGGGTTTACGTCAGTTCGCGTCAGA